ACCCCTGCCCGTGCCCATCCCTCACGGCAGAGGTGCGGGCAGGGGTGAAGGCAGCGGCCTGGCTGGCGGGAGCACCCCGACGTCCTGCCTGCCCCCCCCGCCCTGCCCACATACCCGGGCAATGACGCAGCCACCGCCTGTGAAGTGAAAATATGAACATTATTTAATAACTGAGTCTCTGTAATAAACCATTTGAAAATATTTTACAAGGAGTCACACGCACAATATCTTACAAATTGTCTTTTTGTTGGTTTTTGAAGTTTTCCAACTCTTCTGTACAAAAAAAAAAAATAAAACCCAAAGAAATCAAAAATAAATTAAAGAAAATCAATTAAAAATCCAACGCCTTTGAATGAGCAGAGAGAAGCTTTCAGATGGGGACAGGGCAGGACGTGACCCCGGTGGGACGGGAGGGCCTGGGGCCACGCCGCCCCTTCATCTCATTGGTTTTTAACTTAAAATAGACTATATATGTATATATTTATAGGTATGTATAGTGGTGGTTTTCTGGCAGAGCACCTAACTAGACTACAGAAGTACACACACTCCCGGTAACACAGAGCCATCTGTTCAAACACGGTTCCCAGAGACAGTAACCAAACACACACTGAAAAAGCTACAAGCAGAATGACCATTAATTAACCCCAGCACTAATTAGCGCCTGGCGCCCTCCCCAGCCCCCCCGGGATGGCCGTGTCGAGGGGGCTCCCCTGGCCCCGGTTGATGGGGTGGCTCTGAGCCAGGTGCCCCAGGGGGGTGAGGATCCCCAGGACTGCCCGCCCAGGCAGGGGCACCCGGCACTGCCGGGAGCAGTGGGGGGCATGGGTGATGGGTACGGCACCCCCTGCACCACAGCACCCCTGGGTGTCATGGCTAGACACCCTGCACCCTGTGCTGGGCCCCCCAGCCCTGCGGCTCCTCTCCTGGCTGGGGTGGCAGGGAGCGGCGGGGAGCAGCGGGGTGCAGCAGGGCTGAGCAGCTTCTCCATCCGCCTCCTTGGCACCCAGTGTTTTGGCTGGGGGACAACACCCTCACCCGAGTGCCCCGGTGTGAACCCCAGCATCTCAGACCTCCCGCCCCCAGTGCTGGGTGCCCCCAACCAGGACCTCAGCAGCACCCAGGGAGCAGCTCCCCTTGCCATGGCCAGCCAGCAGCCCCCACGCCGGGGCCCCAAGGGATGGGCATGGGGGCCTGGCACGTCCCTTCTGAGGACATGTGGCACCTCCTGCTCCACCTCCCGCTTGGGGACGTGTGGCACATCCCACTGCGGGGCACATGGCATGTCCCCCTCAGGGACAAGCGCCATGTCCCTGGGCTGGTGTGGTTTCTTTGGCAGGGCGGCTGGGGGGGGCCAGGCAGTGCTGGGGCAAGCAGGATTTCACAGTGATCTGCAGAACGGAAAAGAAACAAAATACATTTTTTCCCCCCTTGTTTTCACTCCAATATCTGTGCCCAAGAACGCACAAGAGCAGCTGAGCCCAGAGCAGGGACCAGGGCTCCATCCTGCCCCAGTGCAGGCAATGGCTGGCTGCCCCCCGCCTCTGCCCCTGCCTGCACCCGGCCCCGAGCCCACAGAGATGCTGGAGCCACCATCTGCCCCACACACCTGGGGGGCCGGTACCTGCTGGAACAAATAATACTGACCCACACAGTCAAGTCAAGTCCCTTTTTCTTTTTTCTTTTCCCCCCTCCTTTTTTTTTTTTTTTTTTTTCCATGTGTCCTCATTGCTGTCAATAAACACTGACGGTCTCCAGGTGAAAATGTCAGAAACTCGATGTAGAAAGATCTGCTTTAAAATCTTCAGGCTAAAAAAATAGGTGAGGTGTATGGGGAGGTCGTGGGCGGAGGGTGCCGACGCCACTTTCCAAGTCCGAGTGGCCGGGAGGGCACGACGTGGGGGCACCGACCCGGTCCCCGCTCTGCCGGGCAGCCCCTGCCTGCACCCTGACTCTTCTTTGGCTGAGGCCGACGGGGAGTGCGGGGCGGCATCACGGGGGTCCCCGAGGCGGCGGAGGGGACACAGCTCCCATTCCACCGGGCCAGGGAGGGTGATGGAGATGGAGCTTGAAAGAAAAGAGAGCTGGCAGGGGCGGCTGGGGGGGCTAAAGGCAGGTGGCCGGGGGCATCGGGTGCCGGCTGACGCTGGAGTAGAGGAGCAGCAGCTGCAGGGAGAGCAGGACCCCCAGGGAGGGGGCAAAGGAAGCCCCTCTGCCGCAGTCTGAGGTATCTTCCTGGGGGGGGGGCAAAGGGAGAGGGGCCATGGGGCACTCCCAGCAGTGCCACAGTGCTGCAGGGGCACCCATTGCCCTGGTAGGGGGACCCACCGCTCCCCTGCAGCCCTGCTGCACCTCCTATCCCAGCACCCCTGTGGCACTGCCTCCCTGGGGGACACCCCACCGTGCTTCTCTTTGTAAGACCCCCCATGGCTCCGCTCCCCTCCTCCCCCAAAGGGCACCCCATAGCATGACTCTACTAGGGACCCTCCCATGGCTCATATCCCCCAGGGGGCACCCCAAGGCTCCTGACCCCCTGGGTCCCCCCATGGCACTGTTCCCCCGGGATCCCCCCATGGCTCTGCCCCCCCCGCGAGGGATATTCCATGGCACTGCTTCCCCAGGGTCCCTCCATGGCTCCACTCCCCCCTCCCTTTCAGGGGTAACCCATTGCCCCAATTCCTCCCAGGGGGGGCTCCCCACAGCTCTCCTCCCCTGTTGTCACCCCCTGGCTCTGCTCCCCCTACCAAGGGGGCATCCACTGCCCCAATCCCTCCCCTGGGGACCCCACCCTGGGGCTCCACTCCCCCCTGTGCCCCCCTGCACCTCACGTACTGTTGCATTGTAGTCAAAGCAGATGTGGGGGCCTTTTCGGTAGCGGGGCCTGTCCACCAGCTCACACTGGTTGGGGTCCCTCGGGGGGGCTTCATAGGTCAAGGAAACCACCGGGGACAGGGTGGTGGGGGCACATGGGGTGCCCCATGGCCACCCCCCCAGCCCCTCTGGCCACAGGCTGGCTCCTTCCACCCCAGCCTGACCCTGCAGCTCCCAGCTCCCCCACCCAGCCCCGCAATACCCACCTGTCCCCTCACCCCCTGCCACCATGTCCCGGTGGAGTGCAGCCAGGCCACCAAAGGATACCTCTTACCTCTGCCTGCAGCAGCTTGACGGACTCGCACTGGCTGCAGAGTGGCTTGTCAGCCACCACAAAGAGCAGGTTGGTGTTGGCCAGCCTCTGTGCGTGGAAGAGCCTGGGGGTGTGACGGCAGTGGGGACCCCAGTTACCCTGTGCCCCGATACTGTGCAGAGCTGGCACTGGGGGCCAGGGGAGGCTGAGCCAGCAGGGTGTCCCCATCCTCCAATCTCACCCCTGTTCTCCTCCCCATCCTTGTCCCCAACCTCACCCTCTCCATCCCCATCTCCACCCCTATCCCCATCCCTGTCCCTCTCCCCATCCCCATGCTGAGGGGCTGCCCAGGGAACTGACACCGCTGAGCTTTCAGAGCTTGGTCCCACTTGGAGGAGCCCTGGGGACATCATCATCACCCCACAGCCCACGGGGACACTACCGTTTCTCTCTGTCCCCCCTTTCTGAGTACCACAGCCCCCCACCCCCGCAAGCACTGCACGGCATCTCCCATCGCCTCCACGCAGGTGGCTGCAGGGGGATCCTGACAAAGGCAGCCTAGGTGGATGTCCCCAGGGCAGTGGGACAGCGCGGACGGACCTACCTGGAGCAGTTGCCGCAGTCGATGATGGCGTTGTAGGTAGCGTTGACAGTGCTGAAGTAGTACTGTGTCTGCTTCATGATGCAGCTCGTCTCCCTGGCCTCCATGCTGTCCCCCGCCACCTCCTCTGCGCCGGCACAGCGCCGTGGGCCAGGGGCCATGGACCCCCCCGCCACATGCCCCCACTATGTCCCTTGCCCACCCCCAGCCCAGGGCTCCCCGGGGACTCACCCGTCTGGAACCAGCTGCTGTAGGTGAGGCCGTACAGGAACTGCTGGAAGAGGGACCTGGGGAAGGAGAAATCAGATACGTTGCTGCCCCAGCCCCAGGAACATGCCAGTGTCACCCCCTGACAGAAATGGTCCCTGGGGAGGGGATCTGGCAGGACTCACCAGGCTGCGGCTGAGGTCCACCAGGCGAGGTTCAGGAGATCGGCCACGGTGGGCTGCAGACAAGAGGGGGGGGTGGGTGAGCCAGTGGCACTGGGGACACTCCTGCGGGTCCCCGAGCTCCCAGACTGCCTGGCAGCCACTGCCACCATGGGCGCTCACCACGAAGACGCCCCGAGGCGCAGCACCCGTGTTGCTCTGGGCCTCGGGGGCACAGACGGACTGGAAGTCGTAGGACTCCTTGCGGGCGTAGAAGGAGTTGTTGTAGAGGGCGGACATCAGGTTGGCGTCCACCTCGCTGAAGAACTTGCCCACCTGGGATGGGGACAACGAGTCTGCACCCAAACACCACCTTGCTGTGGGTCTTCCCTGGGGAGGACTTGAGCAGGGCTGTTGCACCACCCATGACACAAGCTCAAAGGTCTCCGCTCCCTGCTGGCACCCCATGCCCAGGAGAGCTGCCACGCGGCCACTGCTCACCTGGTACCAGTGGTCCTCCTGGTTGGAGAGCACCAGGAAGCCCCCGTCATCGATGAGGACACAGATGAGGTCCTGGGGAAAGAGGGCAGTGTCACCCACACCCTGGACATTCCCAGGGCAAGGCAGGACATGTAGCAGGGTGACAGGCAGTCGGGCAGGGGGGCCAGCATGGTGTTCCCAAGCCTGGGGGCTGCTCAGGAGCATCTTGGTGTTAGGTGCAGGGAGTGAGAACCACCACCCATCCTGGGAGGTTTAACAGCTCCCTCTGGGTGGGGGTCCACGGTCCAGGGGTCAACCCCAAGGGCTTCATCCCTGTGAGGGTCAGGGGCTGGCTGAGCTCCAGGAGCTGCAGGCGGACAGGGTGAGTGCACTCCCCCAGACAGCACAGGCAGGGTGGGCAGGGGACGGGGAGTCCCCCCAGTCACACCCTCCTCCCCCTGCCTGCTGTCCCCCGCTGTCCCCACTGCTGCCCACCACCCACCTTGTTGTTGGCTTCACAGTCCATCTCACAGCTGGTTGAGGGGTCACACTGTCAACCAAAACCAGGGCAGAGGAACAGGTTAGCAGGACCGTCCTCCCCCCAGACTGTCCTCCTGCCAGGAGGGGACACACGAGGTGGTGTCCCCAGGGGGTGGGGACAGGTAGACTGAACCTCTGTTCGCAGGGCTGTGCAGGAGGTACAAGCCCAGTGGGGCCACAAGCACCATGTTCCGGCAGTGCTTCCCAGCCACATCCCCAACCAGCAGAGCTCCCACCCTGTCTCCATCCCTGTCCCCATCCCCACACTGTGACAGCGCCATGGGAGCCCTGGGGACGTACCCGTCGGGTGCCCAGCTGGTCACGGTCTGTCCGGTTGCTTGCCAGCACTTTGAACTTCTCAGCCCAGGCCTCCAGGTCCAGCTTCACCCCCACCACTGGGACAGCAGGGAGATGAGGTGAGCCCTGGTGCGGGGGGGATGACGGGGACCCCCCAGCCTGGTGGTGAGGCACCCAGCCCCCTGCCTACCTGCTGGCTTCAGCGTTTTGCCCCCGATGCTGAGCTCCACAGCAGTGCTCACCAGGATCCCGATGGTGTTGTTCTCCAGGTCCAGCCCCCGGTAGCCAGCTGTGGAGGGCAGGGGTGGCATCAGGGGACATGTGTGGCCTGTACCACCCCCCGCTGCTCCAAACTGGCACCCACCATCCCGGTAGGGCGGCTTGAAGATGTAGCCCTTGTTGTCCAGGCTCCTCCGGTAGAAGCTGGCATTGAAGGGCTCTGGCTCCTCCTCCCAGTCATCTGCAGCCCTGGAGGGCAGCAGCATGGCCATGACTGTCACTCAGCTCCAGTCCCACTGGAGATGACATGTCACCATGCAGGGTGGGGCACACCCCCCCACCCCCCAGACACTCACTTGTTGGGGAAGACACGGGTGATGCCCCCATCGGTGGCTGCGAAGACAGCCAAGAGGCTGTACCTGAAAGGAGAAGGGCCGGGCATGCTGGGCATCAGGGGGGTTTTGTTCTGCCCCCATCCCCATAGCCTGCCTCAAGCCCTCTCCGTCCCCATCCAGTCCTGCCTGTCCTGGGCCACCTTGCTTCCACCTACGTGTTGAGGTCCTGATCCTTCCAGACCCGCTCCACCAGCTGCTGCGTGATGCCCGTGTCCAGGATCAGGTTGTGCAGGAGGAAGTTGTCACCTTGGGAGGAAGATGGCGAGGAGGAGGTGGTGGAGGAGG